ATCGAAGTTTCGAAGGAAGTATTGAAATCATGTCATTGTAATATGATTTCAATTATTAAATCATTGAAATATCTCACAAAAGGTTCAGCATGCTTAGTGTATCCGGGGCGGTCGGGTAGCCTAGTGGTTAAAGCGTTCGCTCGCCACGCCGAAGACCCGGGTTCGATTCCCGACATGGGTACAATGTGTGAAGCCCATTTCTGGTGTCCCACGCCGTGATATTGCTGGAATATTGCTAAAAGCGGCGTAAAACCATACTCACTCACTCACTCACTTAGTGTATCCATCATGTCCATGTTGGTTAGGTTTTTTTCAGATATTACCAAAATCTGAAAATATTATCTGCCAGCAAACATGTTAATGATTTTGTATGTTACCTGGGTCTATGAACCAACCAACCTCAAATTTACCCCTAAAAATGGAATAACATATCATCTTGGAGAATTACTAATGTTCCCACAGTCTGTTCAGTCAGCGGGGGCACGTGTGGCCCAGTCTTCTAAGGCGACGCGATTCGCTGTGCAGAGTTGAAACCTATGATTGTGGTTCGAATCCCGGTTCGCCTCGATTATGTTTCTAGGTTTGTCAGCACCATACCCGTGCTCGTGGGTTTCACCGAAGTGGTAAACGTCTGAGACCTGCATCACTTCGGGCTTTCCTCCCACATTAAGCTGACACGCCGTGATATAACTGGAATACTGTTAAAAGCGGAGTTAAACCCAACTCACTCACTCACTGTTCAGTCAGCAATGTAATGTCAAAGTGGTCGGGGAAAAAACTGTCTGATATATCATCCCCAAACATTTTCTGTTTCTAAAACCTGACAATACATTTAACGAATCACTATTACTCTAATTTGGACCATCTTTAAACCAAATAACTAAAATCAATTCTTATATCTGGAACAGGCAAATAAAATATGTGTTGGTTCTGATTAATTGTGATTAATCTTATGGTCAGATATTAGTGAGTGCTTGATATGGATCTATCTTAATCATCTGTATTCCTCATATCTAACAATCTGTATTTCTCATATTTAACAAAGAAAAACAAACCAAAATTTCCATGTCTTTATTTCTCACAAAGTAAGCTTGTTTGTCGCTTACTTCAGTTATTCAGACTTTTCAAAACTGAACATGGCATGTCCTTCGCCTTGGCGCAGGTGTCTTTGTCTGTCAAAAGCACCTAATTAAATTCCAGGAGAAAATAATTTTCTTGCATGTTAACAAATGGTCCAATGTGTTTTTTTAGAATAGTTTTATTCAAACACCATGAGTCTGATAAATATTGGCCATGTGGCTGGTGGGTGAGTGAATATGGCTTTTCACTTCCTCGTCCTATTTTAGTGAAACGTGTCAGGAAGCACATTGTAACCCGTGTGTCACTATCAGCAGAAAGCTCCCCCAGACCTCCATCACCGGAGATGGTTTCAGTTTTCTCCGAGAAGAAAGGAAATCAACAGAGTGGACTCTATAGACTGTGTAGATATTGATTGTGTTGATTCTCTGGAGGCAAGAGCCCGAAATAAATAATTTAATGATATTGTAATAATATTCCTACTTCTATGATTTTTAAGAACAAAACAATGCATGTTCACTTTCTCTCAAAATATTGCTTATTCAGAAAACAATATTCTCCTGAAATAGAGAAATTTTAAGAAAATTAATCACAGTGAATACAATTACATGCTACTTTAGAACAACCTTAAAAGTATCAATTCATCTGATGTCTAAAACTCAAACTGTATATTCTGTTTTAACATAACAGATGCATCAATTTGATGACAGAGTGTACGAAAGTTCTTTATATCAATGTCACACAGAAATTCACTCTTGCTTAAATGAAACAGGTTTTGATATTTGTATTATGTATTTAATCCTGAAATACTTTGTTTAGTCTGACCATGCTGAAAACATACTTTCGCAGGAGAGAAATAAATAAGATAATTAAGATAATAAATAAAATCAGGTGAAATATCACGTTTTGTCAAACCTACTGTCAGTCAGCCTCACTGACACTGTGGTTTTCTGAGTAAGGTCAGGAAGATCAAGAAAATATTATATCAATAAGACATGCATTTTTTTTAAATGTTTATCTTCATCTTGTGGTTCACTAATGTTGATATTTTGAGTTGTGGCTGTGCTACTCATGGAAATATTAACTTTGTCAGATCACAAGATGAGAACAAATTCGTCTATGTATTTATACTTTTTTTTATTTCTCGTCTTGATCGAATTATCAAAATTATCAAAATTATCACATCACTTGACTTGATTAAAAATAACTAAAGTTCTAAAGATTGTTAAAAATAGCAAAATATAACATCATGACACAGTAAGCACAACTATCATCTAATATTTAAATTAATATGATTAATAATCCATAATACATTATATGGCATTTGCTTGCACAAAAGAAATTATTTTGTTCTAAAAGTTTCAAAATATGTTTGGGTACATAAAACCAGATGGATTTCACAATTAAACAAAGGGAATGAATGAGTTATGATTGCAATACCCATGGGAATTACACAACATTCATAATAATAATTCTGTTTATAGTAATCTCAATCTCAATTTATGAAGTTGAAATATTTAAATACAGACGGTTAAAGAGTTATCTGTTTCTTTTGATTCTGCAGATCAAACTGTACTTCACTTTAAATATTTACGCACCCTTTATATACTAATTCAGTTGAAATATTACACCTCATGCTATCTCATCTGTCAATATTGACAATTAAAATAACTACTATTCACAGCAGATTGTAGATCTAGAGGTCCAATATTTTATTGGAATATGTTTGAGTCCATTACAATTAACATCAAAATACACAACTGAAGCAAAATTCTGATTTGTTTATGATTGTAAATTCTCAATAGGTTATAATAACATAAATAAAATCAACACATCAATTTAGTTAGTTTCTGACATCTATCTAGATATGGTCAAAGTGTCAATATGTTCTACTCCACTTCAAATACAACTCGCAAAGCTATTCAGACTCACACCTTGACTAAAACACATAAATAAATAGTTTGGGTAGATGGTGTTTTTAAATTTATAATATATTAAACTAGAATAGAACTTGGCTTCCACGTGGTCTTCATATGTCATTTAAACCTTATACTGACTGAGTATGGTTTTACGCCGCTTTTAGCAATATTCCAGCAATATCACGGCGGGGGACACCAGCAATGGGCTTCACACATTGTACCCATTTAAACCTTATAAAGAAACACTACCATAACCATATTGGGATTTTAATAGAACTTTAATTGATAATAATGTAACTGCAATATCATATATGGTCACTGATGGTTGGTTCATTTCTTGTTATATCTTAATATAGGGGGCGGTCGGGTAGCCTAGTGGTTAAAGCATTCGCTCGTCACGCCGAAGACTCGGGTTCGATTCCAGACATGGGTACTATGTGTGAAGCCCATTCCTGGTGTCCCCCGCCGTGATATTGCTGGAATATTGCTAAAAGCGGCGTAAAACCATATGAACTCACTCACTCACTTAGTATAGTGTTTCAATTACATAGGACATTTCTCTCCCCCGTTTGGTTTACGTCCCTGAAAATACATAATGTTGCGACTATTGATCATGTTTTGTGACAGCTATTTTGATAAAGGAATACATTCATTTTTATACAAAAGTCCACTATCTCTCGTCATGTGCATGAATGTCAAACTGGATTTAAAAGTCATCTTGGAAATTGGTTACTTAGCTCTTAGGGATGTTTACTCAAAGTGTGAGATGCCATCTGGCTGTGTATGACATGTGGCGATACTGATACAACATGGGCGGATACAGAGGGGGGTTGCGGGGGTGCGCATCCCCCCCCCCCTTTATTTAGAAAAAAAATTCTTTATTTCTGTAAAAAATACCACCACAGACAATAGATATTAATTGTGCATCCGCCCCCCCCCCCCCCCCCCCCCCCCCCGTATCCGCCCCTGTACAATGTACGTGTTCCTCGTCCTGGTAGATTTATCTCCGGTTTGCTAGATGTGACATCCTACATAGTGGCAGTTTACAGAATAGCACATAACAAGGAAACATATATACAGGATGTTTACTCAAAGTGTGAGATGCAATCTGGCTGTGTCTGACGAGTGGCCATTATGATATAAAGTACACATATCTCATCCTGGTAGAATTGTCTTAAAACCTTGGGTCAGAGATCTTTCCAGTTCTGCGCTTCCTCGCTATGGAACAAACTACCATCTAATCTTAAGCTGTCGCCATCGCGTGCATCCTCTAAGACTCATCTGAAAACACACCTTTTCAGACAGCACTATCAACTCTACTCACCTTTCATTAGCATTATTTGCTAAAACTATGTAGCGTCATGAGCATTAATTTGGTGAATGGAATCTGGCGCAGTATAAATGGACTTATTATTATTATAATTATTATTATTATTATAAATTGTCTCTATTGTTAAGATGACGTTAATGTCAACAATTTGCGACGCCATAAACAATGGGTGGCGTGATCGGTATCGAATTGTTCTCAACAATATAATTAGTTCAAGATGCACGCATGACTAAATATAATCGCTCGCAATCACGTAACTGCTGATCCTTACACGAATTGAAAACTCAAAGATGATTTTTATCACTTGCAAAATGGATGTATTGAAAGGCGCACTTTGCATTTTTGTCATCACTGTTACTGTGTTAGTAATATTCATTCTCCCCAAAATGGCTTGTTTTTACGTTAAACATGCAGAAATCTTCGTCAATTAATAATCGCGATATTTCGTGATCCTATTTCAAGTGGCGAGGACCATTACATGTCCATGCATGAAAGGAGACGGGTTGCCAGTCTAGCCTTTTAAGAATCAAGCTCTACCATAGCGCGTGAAATGTGAGCGGCCTACATGAGATCCAAAATGCAATGTTATTGAGAGTCGAATATTGCTGTGTGGAGCTTGTGAAAAGACGTGAAAGCTTGGCTCAGTCTCTACATTGAATTATGATAGCGCAAACATAATCAGGAACCAGTTGAAATCCTCTGCCTCAATCACTTCCGGGTCCTGGCATCGCGTGGCAAGGGATGTAAACAAAAGCATATTCTGAATTCATCAACATAAACTTTAGTAACACTGACATGGGCATCGATGCAAAAATATGTTGCGTCACTGTTGCGGCTATCTTACTGCGGTGGACAGTCTCTCTCAATTCATATTCAGGTTTACACTGATATTATTTTACAAATTCAAATCCAAGTTCGATGGCACTGTCGCCTAACCATTCATTAGTTAGTCTCGCCTGTTGTTTCCCTGTGTCATACCAGGCCTCATAGAACGGTCGCCAATTCGACCTAAATTTCATTTCGTCTACTGTCTAAATTTCAGAGGTAGCCAAATGACTACCTTGAAAATATCTTGTGGCAACTAAATTCTATTGCTTCACATTTGAAAATTGAAGACACAAAAATAAATAACAGCTGATTGTGGAAAAACATGTCTGCTAATAACTGTACTTGCGTATTAGTCCTCCTAAAGTCGACAATGAACAGAAATACATAAATATTGATGAAATTAGTATTTTATTTCAGTTGACAATGCTCATTGAATAAGCAAGGATATACCTAAATAATCTAGTAGCATAAATTGCATCAGATATAACAAGTCATAACAAAAATCAAGTACAGTTTCCACTAATATACAATTCCTTAACTAGTGCTATGACGTGTACATATGATAATAGTTATAAAAGATAATTTCAAATGCTTTTGGCTAATTAGGTCTATCCAATTTTGGCTACTTACAATATTGACTTGACTTCTTGATTTTACCACTGGCTACCCGGAACAAAATGCTTGTAGCCATATGGCTACTTGGTAAAAAATTAAACTTTGAAGCCTGACTACCATGTTTATTAACATAACATTGCTGAATTCATTGTATTTTTATCCAAAGAACCTATAATTAGACTTGAGAGACGTTCATTAGATATAATTTAATTGTTCTTGAAATTCCCAGTTGTAGTTTTGATCAAGATTAACAGAGCTGTCACATCTGATTAAAGATATGTTTCAGTTATATTACTGTAGAACTATATTGATTCTGTACTAAAATTGATGACATGAAATGAAGTATGTCATTTCACTAAAAAAAATGATTTGGCATCTGACATGTACAATTAAGTCCCTGCTCTTAGTTACTTTACAGAGTTGTGTCCCTTGACGTGCTTATAGTGCCATATTCTATGATCGTGGTGTCAAATTATCACCCAGGGCCCCGTTTCACAAAGCTATCTTAGGGCTAAGTCGGTCGTAACTCCCATTCTTTAACACTGACTTACGACAGTCATAGCACTAAGATCGCTTTGTGGAATGGGTCCCGGGGCATCGTTCCACAAAGCAATCTTAGCACTACGACTATCGTAAGCCAGTGTTTAAGTATGGGAGTTACCTTAGCGCTAAGATGGCTTTGTGGAACGGGGCCCTGATCATAATACCTTGTTTGTCTCATAATATAGAAGCTGACATCAATAAATTCTCTTCCTTATGTGTATCTAAATGCCATTCAAAGACTTAAGCTATGACCTGTAATCACTTTAGGATTTCCTCCAACATTATGCTTACAATCAGTCCTATAATTCCAGTGCTGTTCCAAGCAGGGATTTGAAACAATGATCATAGGTTTCAGCAGAGGCATATATCATGTATATAGATCAGTTTATTATATACTTGAGTCATTGCAGTGAACAGAACACTTGATATTTCGATGCAGTGAACATAACACTTTGATGCATCAATTGTCACACAAGAGTTACCTCCCCTTAAATTGTCTCGCTTCAGTGTAAACGTCAAGTCCGTAACAAACTGTTGACGTCCTTTATACGCTAGTTCCACATAGCAAAATAAAGACAGATGGTCATTTATGGAGTGACTATCATTTCTTTCCGTATGTTATTCTCTTGAAATATTTCGTAATAAACTTTTCTCATTTAACTCGTCAATCGAGACTGTTCGTTTCGCAAAGCTCCATTTTTGTTACTTGACCAGCATGTATTCTTTCGCTTCCACAGCGGTCTCCATGTTTTCAAGAATAATTTTTGTTAAAGTCGATTTTGTATATAATCATATCTAAATGTATGATAAAGAATTTTAGTGACCCGTATGGCCCCCCTGCGTCCGCCTTGCGTCTGCCTTGGTATTTGTCAAAAACCTATGGCCGCCGCAGGGACGCGCTAAGGCGACCGTGCGTCTTCACTTCAAAGGCCATACAGCAGCCGCAGGTTTTCTGTCTCCACAAATTCAAAATACGCTTTGCGGCTACCCTAACATATATCACTGCTACAGTATGTGACCGTGGGAATGCTGTGGCGGCCCTATAATTGCTATTGGTTGTAGATATTTTAGATCTCGCAGCAGCCGCGGCAAATGTGACTGTGGCATAAGGGACACAACTCTGCACAGAGAAACCAAGAACTGCGATACCTCATATGACTTGGCCACACATGTCCCACTCTCCACTATGAAGTCAGTAAATGTATTTTTGAAGAAACGAATGTGATTATTTATTTCCCTTTTTGTTGCCAGGTTACAAGACTCCACCGATGTATGGTGATTACGAAGCCCAGAGGCACTGGCAGGAGATAACAGTGAATCTACCGCCAGGAGAATGGTTGGTTTGGTTACCATGGTCCCATTGTGAAGATAATTTTTTAAGAAATCCACAAAATGGTTACCAGTTAGGAAAGTGGTATGGAACTTTTCTGCCACACATATACTGCTAATGGATCTATCAGTCAGGAGCCATCTTCCCGAGGCAAGAGAGTTAACTGACTATTAAAGTCCAGTTTCCACCCTTGCCGAACTAGGCTGGTATTATGGAGTTACATTTTGGCTGGACTAACGAGTCTATGCATAGTCCAATCAAAATCGTGCACCGAAATCGTGTCGATTTTGGTCGATTGAAGGATTTGCAAAGCATGTGCATCGCCAACTCGTTGTCAGAAGATATTTTCCAAATCTTTTCATGTTTTTAATCAAGGTGCTCACATGATTTGATGCATTTCGCGATGTAAGACCGATTTTATCACAATATAGATCTTGATTATCGATCAGATCGTCCTGACTGGGCGCAACCATTTTGTGTGAAGCAAACGCAATTGATACGAGAGGTGGAATCTGATTGGTCCATAGGAGAGGCTTAGAGGGGACATAACTGGTAATAGCCGCTGGTGGCACTACAATCAAGCCCAGTAATTCCAGCCTAGTTCAGCAAGGGTGGAAACTGGACTTTTAAAGTCAGTTAACTCTCTTGCCTCGGGAAGATGTCAGAAGCTGGCTTCCCCTCTGTTTTACATCAGGGGAGAATATTGGTATCGTTCAAATAATATTGGTAAGAATTTTAAATTAAAAACAGTTTTATTCCTTGTCATAGACTCCTATTGTTGTGACCAGACACTCAAACATGAAGACTGCGAGTTGACTTCTCAAAAAGGGGCCAAGAATAATCCTAACAGGCTACCCAGCATCCTCTTGTTATCGACCGATCGTGAAGATTCTGGGGTAGAATTGGTCTTCAACAACCCATGCTTGTGGGATCGGGTTGTCAGGCTCACTGACTTGGTTGATGCATGTCATCATATCCCAGTTACGGAGATCAATTCCTGGATTGTGTGGTCCTGACTCCATTATTTACAGACTGTCCTCATATAGCTGGAATATTGTTGAGTGTATTCACCAACAAAGGAACAAGGTATTCGACCCCAAGAATTAAAAGGGGGACTAAGATCAAGTAAATTTTGATTCATATACAAACATCGCTTTGTTTATCTGCTTACTTCAAGTTTATGATTGGTTGGTTGGTTTGTTGTTTAACGCCGCACTTAGCAATATTCCAGCTATATGACGGCGGTCTGTAAATAATCGAGTCTGGACCAGACAATCACGTTTTTTAAAACAGTAGTCATCGGAAAAAATCATCTTCCTCGTAAAAATATAATTAAAGATGAAAAAGAACAACTCTCCGAAAAATATTATCGGAAACCGGACAACCGTCGCGGTTTGTCCTGTTTTCTATCAGAGCTTTCAGCATCATAGGTTTTGGGACATCATACATTTTCTATCACGAATACTTGCACTATAACGTGGGGGTGTGGCGTCACACAGAAATTGTAAATACTCAGATGATGGCTTGTTTTTAAGATAAAGTTGTCTTTTAGCCTATAAGTGAATGACATGTTTTACAGTTGTTCATGTGATTAGCGAGAAAACAATGAATGTTTCTTCAGCGTCCGAAAACCCATAACATGGGGATATATATTGTATTAATGTCTTATGTTTGCAATGGAGTTTTGTTTTTTCAACAAAATGTAAGTAAGCAAGGTAATTTTTTTTCAATATGCTACAACATGGGGAAAGGGTCAGACATTGCACGCTTGTGAGAGTTGTCCTTGTGTCTGGGGGATGGGGGGTGAGGTTTATGGCAGTATTGCTCCCAGACCTGGCGGGTAGCCGGGGCACGGGAGCCATGCCCGATTTTTTAAAAGTACTGATTTACCATTGCAATTTACAGTTATATACAAGTTACTGAAACTTTACCTTGAATGTAATCACCTAATAATAATAATAATAATTTGAATAATTGGATAGATGAATGTGTCGCTCACTTCACATAATCATTTTGACCCCCAAATGCCTACAATGTGCAAACTTCATCACAGCGAAGCACACCGCACCCATCGAACTGCAGTTCCAAGTTTGGAGTTACCTCCCTTCCCTTTGAGGTTTAAAACTCAGATCGCAGTCCGAAACAATCAAAATCTTTTGTTGTTTTTGCATGATTGCTTGTCAGTAAATGTCAATTATTTGTCAGTTGACGAATGACACAATCCCACTATCAATTTTCTCACATGAGTGTTCATAGAGTTGTTGAAATGATAAACAAGCCCCTTGTTTACAGGTACACGAACACCACAAGCAACGACCTGCTGTACTGGGGGCTGGATTATCCCCCTTTGACTGCCTACCACAGCTACATGTGTGGATACATGTAGGTGTCTTCTTGTGATCTCATTGTGGGATGAAGCACTTATTTTCAGTGATGGGCCTGGAGTTCTCACAATCTCATTAAAATCAGATCTTAGTTCTCGCGACCGCTAAACAAAGATCTGAGGATATCCCATTACGGTTCACGTCAGACCGACCTTGCGCGAACTTTGACCGACCAATGGATGATTGACAAGAAGTCAACATTAGCCATTCAGAAGGCAGCTTTCTCATGCTTTACGGCATTAATTTCAAATTGGCGACTACACTTCGAAACATATTTTGACAAATTCTCGATTAAAAATTTGAAACGTGAACAAAAGAACAAGCTGGATTGGCCGTCACCTTCTTGAAATGGTAAGCGATGCTCTGATTGGTCGTATGAAAGGTCGTTCTGACGTGACCCCTAATTGGTTGTCCTCAGATCTTTGTTAAGCAATAGCGAGAACAAAGATCTGATTTTAAAGAGACTGGGAATTCTTATTAGAGTTACATGATTTGTTCTGCTATTTTATCAACACGTTCCCAGATGAGAAAACAGTAACTGGCACTAAATCATAAGGGATCAATATCATATTAAAAATCCCTGTTTTTTTCAGTTTGTGAAACAGATTTTTTGGGGGGCAAATTCTACACCTCTTCCGAAACCCAATACTACTTGGTTCTCAATAAACACTCATGTAGATGTGAGTTCATCTTCCAGAGTCAAGTGAGTTAACTGACTGTAAATGTCCAGTTTTCATCCTTGCCGAACTAGGCTGGAATTCCTGGGCGTAGCGCCATCAGTGGCTATTATGAGTTATGTCCCTTCTATGCCTCGCCTATGAACCAATCCGATTCCACCTTGCGTATCACATGCAATTGCTTCAAACAAAACGGAGGCGCCCAGTCAAGACGATCTGATCGATAATCAAGATTTATATTGTGATAAAGCGGTTCTAACATCGCGAAGTGCATCAAATCACGTGAGCACCTTGATTTAAAGTATGAAAAAATATGGGTTGACAACTAGTTGGCGGTGCAAAGTTGGACTATGCATTGACTCGTCAGTCCATCCAAAATGTAATTCCATAATACCCACATAGTTCGGCAAGGGTGGAAACTGGACTTTTATAGTCAGTTAACTCCCTTACCCCGGGAAGATGGAGTGAGTTATGGTTGGGGTTATTGGTAGTGGTTATGGTTGGGGTTATTGGTAGTGGTTATGGTTGGGGTTATTGGTAGTGGTTATGGTTGGGGTTATTGGTAGTGGTTATGGTTGGGGTTATTGGTAGTGGTTATGGGTGGGGTTATTGGTAGTGGTTATGGTTGGGGTTATTGGTAGTGGTTATGGTTGCGGTTATTGGTAGTGGTTATGGTTGGGGTTATTGGTAGTGGTTATGGTTGGGGTTATTGGTAGTGGTTATGGTTGGGGTTATTGGTAGTGGTTATGGTTGGGGTTATTGGTAGTGGTTATGGTTGGAGTTATTGGTAGTGGTTATGGTTGGGGTTATTGGTAGTGGTTATGGTTGGGGTTATTGGTAATGTTTATGGGTGGGGTTATCGGTAGTGGTTATGGTTGGGGTTATTGGTAGTGGTTATGGGTGGGGTTATTGGTAGTGGTTATGGGTGGGGTTATTGGTAGTGGTTATTGGTGGGGTTATTGGTAGTGGTTATGGGTGGGGTTATTGGTAGTGGTAGAGCGTCCGCCCGTCTGGGGTTCACCCCCTGGCCACGTCATACTACAAGACGTTAAAACATGGCACTTGTTGTTCTGTTGCTCGGCATTAAGGGGCTAAAACCAGGACTGGTCAGCTAGGAGTCAGTATACTGTGCCTGAGTGAGGTATTCATGTTAAACTGCGGCATGGTATCTCAGTGGGCTAGCACTACAAAATTGGCATTGGTCCGGACTAGTTCAAGCAGCCACACACACAAACACACACACATGCATGTATGTCGCTATGTAAGTGCAATAATCTTGAACGTGACGTTAAACCCCATTTCACCTCACCTCACCTAGTAGTGGTCAGAATCAGTGATTTGAGGATATTGGATTTTGCTCATGATATCAATCACTGGTTTGTCTAGCCCCGATTTATTACAGGCTGCTGAAACATAGATGGAATAGTGGTTGCCTTATGAAACATGAAACACACATTTATCTTGAATCAGGATTTCACTCTGTTTTTAGTGATATATTTGTTCTTGATATGCTTGTCAGTGCAATACATTTTGCTCATCTGTAAATCCAATTAGAGATTCTGCTGCAATTGTGCATTTTCTGTTGTCCTGACATTGGTTATGTGTCTAGCATTGGTGTATGTCCTGTGTGTGTGTGTCTAGCAGTGGTTTATGTCCTGTGTGTGTGTCTAGCAGTGGTTTATGTCCTGTGTGTGTATGTTTAGCAGTGGTTTATGTCCTGTGTGTGTGTCTAGCAGTGGTTTATGTCCTGTGTGTGTGTCTAGCAGTGGTTAATGTCCTGTGTGTGTGTGTCTAGCAGTGGTTGATGTCCTGTGTGTGTGTCTAGCAGTGGTTAATGTCCTGTGTGTGTGTGTCTAGCAGTGGTTTATGTCCTGTGTGTGTGTTGCAGTGGTTTATGTCATGTGTGTGTGTCTAGCAGTGGTTTATGTCCTGTGTGTGTGTCTAGCAGTGGTGTATGTCCTGTGTGTGTGTTGCAGTGGTTTATGTCCTGTGTGTGTGTCTAGCAGTGGTGTATGTCCTGTGTGTGTGTCTAGCAGTGGTTTATGTCCTGTGTGTGTCTAGCAGTGGTGTATGTCCTGTGTGTGTGTCTAGCAGTGGTTTATGTCCTGTGTGTGTGTCTAGCAGTGGTGTATGTCCTGTGTGTGTGTTGCAGTGGTTTATGTCCTGTGTGTGTGTCTAGCAGTGGTGTATGTCCTGTGTGTGTGTCTAGCAGTGGTTTATGTCCTGTGTGTGTGTCTAGCAGTGGTTTATGTCCTGTGTGTGTGTTGCAGTGGTGTATGTCCTGTGTGTGTCTAGCAGTGGTTTATGTCCTGTGTGTGTGTCTAGCAGTGGTGTATGTCCTGTGTGTGTGTTGCAGTGGTTTATGTCCTGTGTGTGTGTCTAGCAGTGGTGTATGTCCTGTGTGTGTGTTGCAGTGGTTTATGTCCTGTGTGTGTGTCTAGCAGTGGTGTATGTCCTGTGTGTGTGTTGCAGTGGTGTATGTCCTGTGTGTGTCTAGCAGTGGTTTATGTCCTGTGTGTGTGTCTAGCAGTGGTGTATGTCCTGTGTGTGTGTTGCAGTGGTTTATGTCCTGTGTGGGTGTCTAGCAGTGGTGTATGTCCTGTGTGTGTGTTGCAGTGGTTTATGTCCTGTGTGTGTGTCTAGCAGTGGTTTATGTCCTGTGTGTGTCTAGCAGTGGTTTATGTCCTGTGTGTGTCTAGCAGTGGTGTATGTCCTGTGTGTGTCTAGCAGTGGTTTATGTCCTGTGTGTGTGTATAGCAGTTGTTTATATCCTCTGTGTGTGTTGCAGTGGTTTATGTCCTGTGTGTGTTGCAGTGGTTTATGTCCTGTGTGTGTCTAGCAGTGGTTTATGTCCTGTGTGTGTGTTGCAGTGGTGTATGTCCTGTGTGTGTCTAGCAGTGGTTTATGTCCTGTGTGTGTGTCTAGCAGTGGTGTATGTCCTGTGTGTGTGTTGCAGTGGTTTATGTCCTGTGTGTGTGTCTAGCAGTGGTGTATGTCCTGTGTGTGTGTTGCAGTGGTTTATGTCCTGTGTGTGTGTCTAGCAGTGGTTTATGTCCTGTGTGTGTCTAGCAGTGGTTTATGTCCTGTGTGTGTCTAGCAGTGGTGTATGTCCTGTGTGTGTCTAGCAGTAGTTTATGTCCTGTGTGTGTGTCTAGCAGTTGTTTATATCCTCTGTGTGTGTTGCAGTGGTTTATGTCCTGTGTGTGTGTTGCAGTGGTGTATGTCCTGTGTGTGTTGCAGTGGTTTATGTCCTGTGTGTGTGTCTAGCAGTGGTGTATGTCCTGTGTGTGTCTAGCAGTGGTTTATGTCCTGTGTGTGTCTAGCAGTGGTTTATGTCCTGTGTGTGTGTTGCAGTGGTGTATGTCCTGTGTGTGTCTAGCAGTGGTTTATGTCCTGTGTGTGTGTCTAGCAGTGGTGTATGTCCTGTGTGTGTGTTGCAGTGGGTTATGTCCTGTGTGTGTGTCTAGCAGTGGTGTAAGTCCTGTGTGTGTGTTGCAGTGGTTTATGTCTTGTGTGTGTGTCTAGCAGTGGTGTATGTCCTGTGTGTGTGTCTAGCAGTGGTTTATGTCCTGTGTGTGTGTTGCAGTGGTTTATGTCCTGTGTGTGTCTAGCAGTGGTTTATGTCCTGTGTGTGTGTTGCAGTGGTTTATGTCCTGTGTGTGTGTCTAGCAGTGGTGTATGTCCTGTGTGTGTGTCTAGCAGTGGTTTATGTCCTGTGTGTGTGTCTAGCAGTGGTTTATGTCCTGTGTGTGTGTCTAGCAGTGGTTTATGTCCTGTGTGTGTCTAGCAGTGGTGTATGTCCTGTGTGTGTGTCTAGCAGTGGTGTATGTCCTGTGTGTGTCTAGCAGTAGTTTATGTCCTGTGTGTGTCTAGCAGTGGTTTATGTCCTGTGTGTGTCTAGCAGTGGTGTATGTCCTGTGTGTGTGTTGCAGTGGTTTATGTCCTGTGTGTGTGTTGCAGTGGTTTATGTCCTGTGTGTGTTGCAGTGGTTTATGTCCTGTGTGTGTCTAGCAGTGGTGTATATCCTGTGTGTGTGTTGCAGTGGTTTATGTCCTGTGTGTGTCTAGCAGTGGTGTATGTCCTGTGTGTGTCTAGCAGTGGTTTATGTCCTGTGTGTGTCTAGCAGTGGTTTATGTCCTGTGTGTGTCTAGCAGTGGTGTATGTCCTGTGTGTGTCTAGCAGTGGTGTATGTCCTGTGTGTGTCTAGCAGTGGTTTATGTCCTGTGTGTGTCTAGCAGTGGTGTATATCCTGTGTGTGTGTTGCAGTGGTTTATGTCCTGTGTGTGTCTAGCAGTGGTTTATGTCCTGTGTGTGTGTCTAGCAGTGGTTTATGTCCTGTGTGTGTCTAGCAGTGGTTTATGTCCTGTGTGTGTCTAGCAGTGGTGTATGTCCTGTGTGTGTGTTGCAGTGGTTTATGTCCTGTGTGTGTGTCTAGCAGTGGTGTATGTCCTGTGTGTGTGTTGCAGTGGTTTATGTCCTGTGTGTGTGTTGCAGTGCGCGACTGATCAACCCAGACTGGGTGTCTCTCAACACATCACGGGGTTACGAGAGCTACCAACACAAACTCTTTATGCGGTACACAGGTAAGCCGGACAAATCCTTTTTTCAATACATGGTCAACATTTCTTTCCTCTAAACACTGTTGCTTTGCAGTGTAGTTGCTATTTTTAATCAAGTCATGGCTTGGTTTACGCACTGCGAGACCAGCAAGACCAGCCAGACCAGCGAGACCAGCAAGACCAGCCAGACCAGCCAGTGCTCTGACAAATGATCACTCTGATGACATCAGCAAAATTTCGTGTGCAACATGTGCCATTGCCTTTTGCATTCGTCACCACTCACCCCTTTCTGTAACCTGCAAGAAGACTCGTCCCCCTATCGATGAATGTTATGTGCGAAAATACGACAAACCAATCAGAATGGGCATATGACTTCAATTACTTAGGTCAAAGTCCCGAAGTGTTTTCAATAGCATCAGGAATATACATGATATAGGCCTATGGGGGGAATATATATGAATCATTACACAATGAGTTGACAATTCATTTAGCGATGCCCGTGTTTGCTTAGACTGAACCCAGTCGAAAAATGGCCACAAGAGAGGCTTGAGTCTCCATTCGGCTTGTCCCGGAATAACACGAATTGGTCATGAATGAGCCTTTTGGCCTCTCATCTTCAATATCAGGGAATGGTCACACTCATTACTGAAGCAAAGGAAGACACACATCACAAGAACAGAAGAAGAAGGAGGAGGAGGAGAAGAAGAAGGAGTAGATGAAAGAAAAGGAGAAGGAAGAAGAGAAGAAGGAAGAGGAGAAGGAGTATAGAAGGAGAAGATGCAGAAGATGAAGGAAAAGGAGAAGGAAGAGGAGAAGAAGGAGAAGAAGGAGAAGATGCGGGAGAAGATGAAGGAAAAGGAGAAGGAAGAGGAGAGAGGGAGGAGTAGAAGGAGAAGATGCGGGAAAAGGAGAAGGAAGAGGAGAGGGAGGAGAAGATGCAGGAGAAGATGAAGGAAAAGGAGAAGGAGAAGGAAGAGGAGAGAAGGAGGAGTATAAGGAGAAGATGCAGGAAAAGGAGAAGGAAGGAGGAAGAAGGAAGAGGAGAGAAGGAGGAGTAGAAGGAGAAGATGCGGGAGAAGATGAAGGAAAAGGAGAAGGAAGAGGAGAAGGAGTAGAAGGAGAAGATGCAGAAGATGAAGGAAAAGGAGAAGGAAGAGGAGAAGAAGGAAGAGGAGAAGGAGTAGTAGAAGGAGAAGATGCAGGAAAAGGAGAAGGAAGAGGAAAAGAAGGAAGATAGAAGGAGAGAAGAAGGGGAAGAGGAGGAGAGAACGAGTAGAAAGAGAAGAAGAGAAGAAGAAGGTGGAGAAGGAGGAAAAGAAGAAGAAAGAGGAGAATAAGGAGGAGGAGAAGGAAGAAATGAAGGAGATAAAGGAGGAGGAGAGGAGGAGTAGGAGAAGAAAGAGAAGAAAGAGGCAAATAAGGAGGCGTAGACGAAGGAGGAGTAGAAGGAGTGGAGGAGAAGAAGAAGAAAGATGAAAAGAAAAAGGAGAACAGCAACATAACATATCTTTTTTAGAAATGTCTGGCTCTGTTATGTACAGACCGCCGTGATACAGTGTCCCGGATGGCTTTTGAAACTACAACTCCCCCCTAATTTTTGTCAGTCACTACTTTTAACAAATAAAAAAACATGAAAATTACCTGGTTTTAATTCTTTCAACATCATGTGAAAGGACATCATATCTGAAGTAACTTAAGTAGATCTATACATCATTCACACACACTTCAGTCACAATTTTCTCTTTTTTAAACATTTTAAGACGAAATTTGCTACAAATGGTTATTTAACCCCAAAGCAAAGCAAAATGTTATTTGACCCGTAATGGGATGTCCTCAGATCTTTGTTTAGCGGTAGCGAGAACTAAGATCTGATTTTAATGAGATTGAAACTAACTCTAATTGGTCTGTTAACAGTGCTGGCTGCGGACCTTGTGGTCTTTGTCCCGGCGGTGCTGTACTATGTGCTGTCACAGTGGAGACTTGGGGCCAAGGAGAAGGTGAGAGTTGCATCCCTTAGTCACACCAGGATCTGGTGATCATGGTTTTGAATCCCGTAATTATTGCTTATAATTCTTGGTTTCATTCCAGTGTGTGTTCCATTGAGTGTCACTGATGTAGTGTCAGTGTGCACATTTAGTTATTCATTATGTCATGATTAGAATCAGACAGACCGCTGTCATAAAGCTGGAATATTGCTGAGTGTGGCGTTAAACAACAAACCAACCAACCAACCAACCACAGTTAAAGACAACTGAATCTGGTCACTTATGCAGATGTTTTATGTCAGTGGATCTGTACAGGAGATTATTTCTCTGCTGATATATAGAGGGTCACGGGTGGCCCAGTCGTCTAAGGCGCCGTGATTCGCTGTGCAGAGTTGCGTCCCTTGGGCACGCCAGAAACCTATGATTGTGGGTTTGAATCCCGGTTTATGTTTCTAGTTTCTAGGTTTGTCAGCACCATACCCGTGCTCGTGGATTTCACCGAAGCGGTAAACGTCTGAGACCTGCATCACTTCGGGCTTTCCTCCCACATTAAGCTGACACACCGTGATATACTGTAAATCTTGAAATTAACGCGAGCGTATATAAACAATGTCAGTCAAACGCTAATTACGTCCTGTGAATTGTCACTGCTGGGGTCAAGACAAGAGTTCTACTCACTTATGTCATCACTGATCACACCTGCAAGTCCAGACAGACGCCACTCTTTGTTCTTTGCGACTGGGCATGCGCATGGGCATGTATTGTTTTTGCTGAAGTACTTTACTCAGCGCTAATAAGCTAATAACTGAGGACATCTTTAGATAGAAATCCACTGATGCTTGAGAGGAGGGGGTGTCGCATTCATATTGAGTCACTTTTTTGGCTAGGGTCCAGTGGTCGCATTCTTTTGGAGACGCATTAATTTCACGATTTACAGTAACTGGAATAATGTTAAAAGCGGTGTTAAACCCAACTCACTCACTCACTCACTGATGTATATCGCTTTACTTCCTCCACAGATGTTCGGAGCTATGGCACTGCTGCTGAGTCCTGGGCTCATCCTCATTGACTACGGACACTTTCAGTATCCTTGTGTATCTACATCACTGTGTCATGACAACCTGTGTCCTTCTGACATTGTGATGTCATACCTGCGAGAATTACCTGTAGATCCATCCCATGAAGATCCAGGGTAGAATAGGTCTTCAGCAACCCATACTTGCTGTAAAAGATGAATATGATTGTTGTAAAAGGCGACTAACGGGATCGGTTTACAGACCGCCATCATATAGCTGGAATATTGTTGAGTGCGGCATTAAGCAACAAAAAAAACCCCCAAAAAACCCCCCAAAAACTGTAGATCCTCCCTCCTTGCATCTTCCCTAGGCAAGAGAGTTAACTGACTTTATAAGTCCAGTTTCCACCCTTGCCGAACTTGGCTGTAATTCCTGGGCTCGAACGTAGTGCCACCAGTGGTTATGTCCCTTCTAAGCCTCTCCTATGGACCAATCAGATTCCATCACTTGCATTTGTTTCAAACAAAACGGTGGCGCACAGTCAAGAGGATCTGATCGATAATCAAGGTCTATGTTGAGATAAAAAGTCTTACATCGCAAAGTCCTTCAAATCACGCGAGCACCTTTATTTTAAAACATGAAAAGGTTTGGAAAATATCTGTCGGCGGTGCACATGCTTTGCAAATCCTGCAATCGACCAAAATCTGCGCAACAGTTTCCGATGCGGATTTCGATTTCGTTGCGCGATTTTGACTGGACTATGCATAGTTAGTCCAGCCAAAATGTAACTCCATAATACCAGCCTGGTTCTGCAAGGGTGGAAACTGGTCTTTTATAGTCAGTTAACCTCACTGACCGTCAGAATCTCATTAAAATCAGATCTAAGTTTTTGCTGAACAAAGATCTGAGGACATCCCATTACAGGTCATGTCAGAACGACCTTTCGCGAACTTTGACAGACCACTGAAAGAACCACAAGAAGCCCCCATCAGCCAATTAGAAAGCAGCTTTCTTGAACTATACGGCACTCATTTTTTAACCTGCCGACTTTCATTTCAGACTATACTTGAAAATTATGTTGACACAGTTCTCGATTAAAATTTTGGGAACTTAACAAATGAACATTCCGGAATGTCTAATATATGGTTGAGATTGTATGCAGTGCTTCCCACGTACTGTGCGACGCCTCCTCCATTCAAATGTTTATCCCAGAAGTGAAGGATAGACGATAATTCAGACGGAATCAGTTGTATGGGCTGTAACTGTCGTTCGGAATATCCCATGATTAGAAAACACATTCCAACTGTCACTCTCATGATCTGGTAAGCGACGCTTTGAGTGGTCGGATGAAAGGTCGTTCTGACATGACCCGTAATGGGATGTCCTAAGATCTTTGTTTAGCGATAGCGAGAACCAAGATTTGATTTTAATGAGATTTGCCTCAGTCTTTAAATGGGTCTATTAATGCCTCACATTTTCGTATGTAAGCACTCGGTCTTTGTACCCGTGAAGATCCGGGGTAGAATAGGTCTTCAACAACCCCTGCTTGCCGTAAAAGTCGACAATGCTTGTCGAAAGAGGCGACTAACGGGATCGTGTGGTCAGGCTCGCTGACTTGGTTGATACATGTCATTGTATTCCAATTGCTTGGATCAATGCTCATGATATCAATCAATGGATTGTCTGATCCAGACTCAATTATTTACAGACCGCAGTCATATAGCTGGTATTGCTGAGTGTGGCGTTAAACAACAAACAAACAAAAACAAAACTCGGTCTTCATATCCTTTGGTTGGGGTTGAGATGATGGTGTTGCAGATTTAAGGAAAAAAATGAAGGTACAGCTATTCATAATAGTGTGTATATATATAATACTCCAAATCAACACCCTAATGCATGCTCAAACCGCTAGTCAATGGTTCAATGTTCACTCAAATGTCATTCTTCACTCCCTGGGGAGTATGAAACCAAAACTGCCTTATGAAGCTCTAGAAGGGTTACAGTCACCATCTCACCCTTACGGGTACCCATTTATTGCTGATTTGTGTCCTGTACAATTTTCTGTTCTCTCATAAAGTTCTCTTTTTTGACTTATGGACCCGTGAAGAATCTGGGTTAGAATAGGTCTTCATCAACCCATGCTTGACGTAAAAGGCAACTATGCTAGTCTTAAAAGGCGACTAATGGGATCGGGTGGTCAGGCTCGCTGACTTGGTTGATGTCATCGTATTCCAATTTGCTGGATTGATGCTCATGATGTCAATCACTGGATTGTCTGGTCCAGACATGATTATTTTACAGACAACCGTCATATTGCTGGAATATTGCTGAGTGAGGCGTTAAACAACAAACAAACAATTTCATGACCTATTAATTAGTCTTACATACCATCTTCAGCAAATATATTTCACTGAAACTGAATGAATGTGCATATGTAAGTATGATTTATTTATGCATCGTCACACATTTCAACAATGTTCCTCCTTAACCATGAACCTAGATATAATGGCATGAGCCTCGGTCTGGCACTGTTGGCCATGACCTTCCTAGACAAAGGTCATGACCTCCTTGGGTCTGTTGCGTTTGTGTTGGCGTTGAACTACAAGCAGATGGAGCTGTATCACGCCATGCCGTTCTTCTGCTACCTCCTAGGTTCCTGCTTCCAAGTGTCCTTCTCCAAGGGGTTAGTGTTTCATCGATGTCCATTTTCCCCAAGAGTTATTGCCCTTGTTACCCATAAGGATCCTATGCACTAAGAAATGTAATGTTTGCTTTTATCTCAAAACCTGAATTATGCCAAATGTCTAGTTTTAATTATTTGGCAAGCTGCACTTTGGTAAACAGGACGTAATTTCTTCTTTTTTTCTGTTTTGTTTTATATACCGGTACATACAGAAAAGCCACGATTTTAGAACATGGTAATAAAACCACGTTGTAACAGGATCTCAAGTTGACACATTATTGTGAGCAATTGAAGTTGACAATAATGTTTACGATGTAACAGAATATGTTTAGATGAGATGCAACAAGACTCTCATTTATGAAAATGACTCTCAACAACTGCTAATCATCACCTTGTAGAATCTCTCTCTCTCTCATCCCACCTCCCTCAACAAAACGACTCGTGGAGATTCGGGTTAGAATTGGTCTTAGGCAACCCATGCTTGTCGTAAGAGGCAGCTAACGGGATCGGGTGGTCAGATACGATGACTTGTCTGATGCATGTCATCGTATCCCAATTGCCATGATCAATGCTCATGATGTCAATCACTGGATTGTCTAGTTCAGACTCGATTATTTATAGCCTGCCGTCATATAGCTGGAATATTGCTGAGTGCGGCGTTAAATAAACAAATGACATGCAACAAAAATCTGCCTTAGCCGATTGCTCATTCTAAAACTCAATTCTGTGTATTTGGTGATATTGTGAAGTATGTCGTTCGGAAAAAATCAACTGGCAACTATAGCTTAGCTGGGAATGAGTTGTGTACATAATCTACCGCTGATTGGACTGGTCCAGGGAACAAGCTGCCGTGCACTCTCCTACCCAGAGTTCCTTGCGGGCGGCAGCCAGCATAGTACTTCGGCCACAGGCCAGCGCCATGTGACGATTCGTCACATCCTTCACAGTCCATCCAAGATATTGCGTATGCTTTTCATCCGTTTCATTTTTGACAAGTTTTCATATTTTCATAAACAAATGTCAAAGAATGGTTACGGTTCATTAAAAAAGTATCCTAAAATGTGAAAATCTACTTGTTTTTGCGTAGTTATCCTTTGTTTACATTGGTTGTACGACTCCATGTGCGGCCATCGAAGCCCTACGGAGAGTTAGCGACACGGTCACTTTGATGTATAAATATATATTGTCATGCAACTCACACTTGCAGTTGTAGTAGCATATCTATATAATTATGCAAAACAATATGTAAAGCGCCCCCGAATATTTGCATTTGTCCGTTGTACTGATTTCTGAAAAAGCGCGTTTCTTTACAAACAAGCGAAAAGTCCGGTCACGTGATATGCAAATTAGCCGGTGGCAATGGTGTTATGCCGAGTCACCACTGCGCCGGATCGGAGTGTGACTGCTGTGACTAGAGCATCACTCACTCATGGTGTTTCTTGTGTTGTAGCTACCTGAAGTTGATGATGCTGGGCCTTGTGGTCGTCATCACGATGGGGATGTGTTGGCTGCCATTCCTCTCTGACCTTGACAGTGCTCTTGCTGTTCTTCGTAGACTCTTCCCCTTCAACAGAGGATTGTATGAGGTGAGGGTGATGTCACAGTCTGCACAACCTCATTAAAATCAGATCTAAGTTCTCGCTGCCGCTAAACAAAGATCTGAGGACATCCTATTACGGATCACGTCAGAACGACCTTTCGCGAACTTTGACCGACCACTGAAATGAATAACAAGAAGTTGATATCAGCCAATGAGAAAGCAGCTTTCTTGAGCTTTACGGCACTCGTTTCAACCTGGCGACTTCCATTTCAGACTATGCTTGAAAAATATGTTGACACAGTTCACGATTAAAATTTTGAAAACTGAACAAAAGAACAATCTGGAATGTCTAATATATAGTTACGATTGTATGGCAGAGCTTCCCACGTACTTTGCAATGCCTCCTCCATTCATATGTTTATCCCACGGAAGCGAGAGACAGACGATAATTTTGACTGAATTAGTCGTACGGGCCGTAACTGTCGTTCGGAATACCCCGTTTTAACGTTTTCGAGGTTGCATGTTTAGAAAACACATTCCGACTGTCACTTTCATGATCTGGTAAGCGATGCTGTGATTGGTCGGATGAAAGGTCGTTCTGACATGACCCGTAATGGGATGTCCTCAGATCTTTGTTTAGTGATAGGGAGAACTAAGATCTGATTTTAATGAGATTGCAGTCTGCACAACCTGTCCATTAGTTACATTCTGTACTTCCACTGAAGGAGCCAAGGAACCAGTCCTCATCTCCATGTGCTGATCTTGCAGGGAAGGTTAAAAAGTTAAAAGCGGCGTTAAACCCAACTCACTCACTCACTATTATCTGTGTATTTGACTGCAGTGAAGAATAGGTCCCTATACCCCATACTCTTAATTGTGATTCCATACAAATAGGTCCCCAGTACCTCATGCATTGAGGGATAGAATAGGTCCCAGATACCTCATGCTTATTACTCTGTGGGCATTTAGGGGCAGAATAGGTCCCCAGTACCTCATGCTTGTCTCTCTGTGGGCATTGAGGGATAGAATAGGTCCCAGATACCTCATGCTTATTACTCTGTGGGCATTGTGGGATAGAATAGGTCCCAGATACCTCATGCTTGTTACTCTGTGGGCATTGAAGGGCAGAATCGGTCCTTGGTATCTCATGCTTGTCTCTTTCTGTGGGCATTCAGGGGCAGAATAGGTCCACAGTACCTCATGCTTGTCTCTCTGTGCCTTCAGGGGCAGAATAGGTCCCCAGTACCTCATGCTTGTCTCTCTGTGGGCATTGAGGGGCAGAATAGGTCCACAGTATCTCATACTTGTTACTCTGTGGGCATTGAGGGGCAGAATAGGTCCTTGGTATCTCATGCTTGTCGCTCTGTTGGTATTTAGGGGTAAGACAGATCCCCAGTACCTCATGCCTGTCTCCCAGTGGAGATTCTAGAGTAGATTCTTTCTAGCAATGATTTTGCTGTGATTCCCCCTCTCATCCTCAATTATTCTTCGATCCAGGACAAGGTGGGCAACGTGTGGTGCAGCCTGTCTGTGGTGGTCAAGGGTTAGGGTAAGGGTTAGGGTTAGGTTAGGGTTATTCTCTTACCCTCAATTATTCTTCGATCCAGGACAAGGTGGGCAACGTGTGGTGCAGCCTGTCTGTGGTGGTCAAGGGTTAGGGTAAGGGTTAGGGTTAGGTTAGGGTTATTCTCTTACCCTCAATTATTCTTCGATCCAGGACAAGGTGGCCAATGTGTGGTGCAGCCTGTCTGTGGTGGTCAAGGGTTAGGGTAAGGGTTAGGGTTAGGTTAGGGTTATTCTCTTACCCTCAATTATTCTTCGATCCAGGACAAGGTGGCAAACGTGTGGTGCAGCCTGTCTGTGGTGGTCAAGCTGAAGGAGCTGATGGCCCAGGAAACACTGGTACTGATGTGGTGAGTTGCTGTAGGTGACTAATGCTAGCTTAGAAATCTTGTGTTATCTTGTCAGGAATGTCCATTAGACTCTTGGAACATGTGGTTGATAGTGTTGACTGCAGGGGTATTTCTCTGTGATGTAAAAATGTGACTACTAAGTCACTACTAAAATACTGAAGTGATGCCCAAAGCTGAACCTCAGAGTACAACTGAAGCTCCAGGTGGATCATCAGAGTCAGACTGAAGCACCAGGTGGATCATCAGAGTCAGACTGAAGCACCAGGTGGATCATCAGAGTCAGACTGAAGCACCAGGTGGATCATCAGAGTCAGACTGAAGCCCCAGGTGGATCATCAGAGTCAGACTGAAGCCCCAGGTGGATCATCAGAGTCAGACTGAAGCCCCAGGTGGATCATCAGCGTCAGACTGAAGCACCAGGTGGATCATCAGAGTCAGACTGAAGCCCCAGGTGGATCATCAGAGTCAGACTGAAGCACCAGGTGGATCATCAGAGTCAGACTGAAGCACCAGGTGGATCATCAGAGTCAGACTGAAGCCCCAGGTGGATCATCAGAGTCAGACTGAAGCCCCAGGTGGATCATCAGAGTCAGACTGAAGCCCCAGGTGGATCATCAGAGTCAGACTGAAGCACCAGGTGGATCATCAGAGTCAGACTGAAGCCCCAGGTGGATCATCAGAGTCAGACTGAAGCCCCAGGTGGATCATCAGAGTCAGACTGAAGCCCCAGGTGGATCATCAGCGTCAGACTGAAGCACCAGGTGGATCATCAGAGTCAGACTGAAGCCCCAGGTGGATCATCAGAGTCAGACTGAAGCACCAGGTTGATCATTACAGTAAGACTGAAGCACAGGGTGGATCATTACAGTAAGACTGAAGCACAGGATGGATCATTACAATAAGACTGAAGCACGGGGTGGATCATTACAATAAGACTGAAGCACGGGATGGATCATTACAGTAAGACTGAAGCACCAGGTTGATCATTACAGTAAGACTGAAGCACGGGATGGATCATTACAGTAAGACTGAAACACAGGATGGATCATTACAATAAGACTGAAGCACGGGGTGGATCATTACAGTAAGACTGAAGCACAGGATGGATCATTACAGTAAGACTGAAGCATGGGGTGGGACATTAAAATAAGACTGCACCATGGGGTGGATCATTACAGTAAGACTGAAGCACCAGGTTGATCATTACAGTAAGACTGAAGCAAGGGGTGGATCATTACACTAAGACTGAAGCACGGGGTGGATCATTACAATAAGACTGAAGCACCAGGTTGATCATTACAGTAAGACTGAAGCACGGGGTGGATCATTACAGTAAGACTGAAGCACAGGGAGGATCATTACAGTAAGACTGGAGCATGGGGTGGATCATCACAGTAAGACTGAAGCACGGGGTGGATCATTACAGTAAGACTGACCATTCTCTGTTTCAGCCTCGGTTCCACCCTGATCATGCTGCTGCCATCATCTCTACATGTGCTGACCAAGCCAACCATCGAGAACTTCAAACTAGCACTCGTGAGTTGACCTGTAAACTTGTACAGACATTGAGTGGTAGTGCATCCTATACAGCATTCTAGGCCCCGTGAGTTGACCTGTAAACTTGTACAGACATTGTGTGGTAGTGCATCCTATACAGTGTTCTATCACTTGACCTGTAAACTTGTACAGACATTGTGTGGTAGTGCATCCTATACAGTGTTCTATCACTTGACCTGTAAACTTGTACAGACATTGTGTGGTAGTGTGTCCTATACACAGTCTTCTATCACTTGACCTGTAAACTTGTACAGACATTGTATGGTAGTACATCTTATACACAGTTCTATCACTTGACCTGTAAACTTGTACAGACATTGTGTGGTAGTGCATCCTATACAGCGTTCTAGCACTTGACCTGTAAACTTGTACAGACATTGTATGGTAGTACATCTTATACACAGTTCTAGCACTTGACCTGTAAACTTGTACAGACATTGTGTGGTAGTGCATCTTATACAGTGTTCTATCACTTGACCTGTAAACTTGTACAGATATTGTGTGGTAGTGCATCCTATACACAGTGTTCTATCACTTGACCTGTAAACTTGTACAGACATTGTGTGGTAGTGCATCTTATACAGTGTTCTATCTCTTGGCCTGTAAACTTGTACAGACATTGTGTGGTAGTGCATCCTATACAGCGTTCTTCACTTGACCTGTAAACTTGTACAGACATTGTGTGGTAGTGCATCCTATACACAGTCTAGGCCCCGTGAGTTGACCTGTAAACTTGTACAGACATTGTGTGGTAGTGCATCCTATACAGCATTCTAGGCCCCGTGAGTTGACCTGTAAACTTGTACAGACATTGTGTGGTAGTGCATCCTATACAGCGTTCTAGCACTTGACCTGTAAACTTGTACAGACATTGTGTGGTAGTGCATCCTATACAGCGTTCTATCACTTGACCTGTAAACTTGTACAGATATTCTATGGCAGTGCATCCTATACACAGTGTTCTAGGCCTCGTGAGTTAGCCTGTAAACTTGTACAGACATTGTATGGTAGTACATCTTATACACAGTTCTATCACTTGACCTGTAAACTTGTACAGACATTGTGTGGTAGTGCATCCTATACACAGTGTTCTATCACTTGACCTGTAAACTTGTACAGACTTTGTGTGGTAGTGCATCTTATACAGTGTTCTATCACTTGACCTGTAAACTTGTACAGACATTCTGTGGTAGTGCATCCTATACACAGTGTTCTTGCACTGTTATCTGTTACATGTGTAAACATACTGACTAACTAACTCAGATTCATACACCATATTTGAAATTGCCCTCCACTAAAAAGCCCTCGGTGTACCTCAGTGTTGATTTTATCAAATAAAGCTTGATCATATTGAGAATGGTTTCGTTTGGCCAAGTCATATAGGGAGACATAATTGGTTTGCAGAGTTGCAGCCCTTAGAATGGCCAGGATCCACTGATCATGGTTAGTGCCCCAATCTGTGCTTGTTAACATGGCTGGTCACACTCTCGGCTTTCACTGTATGGGTTTCCTCCAACATTAAGCTGGAACTCTGTGATAACTGGCATATAATGCTAAACCCAACTCCCGCACTCATTTAATAATTAATGTGGAGACATTTGCGTGCCAGTCTGGAATGAACTCTTGAGAAACTGAAGTAAGGGTAAGATATATGGATGAACAACCTTATTACAATTAGAAGCGACATTTCAGTGTAGGTTCTAACAATGTTGTCAAGCAAGCGGTGTTAGAACCTACACCGAAATGTCCCTCCTAATTGTAATAAAGATAGTTGTTCATCCACATTTCTTATCCTTACTTAGTACTCCAACTTCTAAATGCATCTTAAAGAAGTTTTTTTTGAGGATAGGATATAGGTACAATGCCTTGACTTGGTGACAGAGGATGCTAATTTGGCGTATTTGTCACAATTCAGGGGATATACTATGTGTATTTTTTTCGTGGGCCAATTCCACACCCAGAAGTCAAACTCGGACTGCTAAATTATTACCCCAAACGGAACAGTGTGCTCTCGAATTTCATTGGTGGGCACGGGTGCCCCAGTCGTCTAAGGTGCAGAGTTGCGTCCCTTGGACACGCCAGAAACCTATGATTGTGGGTTTGAATCCCGGTGCGCCCAGATTATGTTTCTAGGTTTGTCAGCACCATACCCGTGCTCGTGGGTTTCACCGAAGTGGTAAACGTCTAAGACCTGCATCACTTCGGGCTTTCCTCCCACATTAAGCTGACACGCTGTGATATAACTGGAATACTGTTAAAAGCACCGTTAAACACAACTCACTCACTCGAATTTCATTCTCTGCTACTAAGAAACTCTTGGGAGCCAAGCTTTTTGTATCATGCGCATTAATTCGCGACACAGTGCACCTGATTTGTGACCACAATGCTGAACAAAGGACCACAACGATATGTCTGTGCTGTCTACATGTTGAAGACCCGTGAAGATCCAGGATAGAATAGGTCTTCAGGAACCCATGCTTGCCGTAAAAGGCGTCTATGCTTGTCGTTGCGACTAACGGGATCAGGTGGTCAGACTCGCTGACTTAGTTAATGCATGTCATCTGATTTTCTGGTCCAGACTCGATTTCTTACAGACCGCCATCATATAGCTGGAATATTGCTGAGTGCTGCGTTAACAACAAACAAACAAATCAAAATCTACATGTTTAAACTAATACTGTTTTTCCGTTTTAACAAGCATGTTGACTCAGAATGCCTACAGCAATGTTTGCTGGATCAAGTTTTGGACATGGCAGATGAGGATGCTCTGAGACTAATTGAGACCATTATCATGTGTTTTTTATTTTCAGATTAATTCGTCTTTAGTGTTTTTCCTCTTCTCCTTCCAAGTCCATGAGAAGTCCATACTCCTAGCCGCGGTGTAAGTGCATAAAATAAATTGAAGTGATTCCATCGTATTTGATTGGCTAACCAAGCAATATTTTTGCATTTATATTTCAATAAACTTAATATCACTGATTTTGTGTCATTGTCTCCATTTTTTTATGTATTAATGACAACTCAGTTTTTATGTTTTTATGTTTTTATTGTTGACTCATTTATCTTTAAGAATTTACTTCAACATATTTTTTCAATTATGGTGTTATAAACATACAAATGTTTCTCCATAAATGCAAAAAATAAGTGAGTTCTTAAGTTCATCTTGAACCATCACTCCCCTTTGTGATTGTAGCTCTGTAAAATATAATCAGGTTCAAATAAAATTGAAATGCAAAGTGTTCAGAAAAACAGAAACATTAACATTAATGATACCAGGTGGTTGTGAATTAACTGTTCCAACTGAAGCATGTGTAATGGAGTCTTTCACTGCAGGCCCCTGGCTGCCCTGGCCCCAAGCTTCCCCCTGGCCAGTGTGTGGTTCATGGTCATCTCAACCTTCAGGTAATGTCCAGTTTCCTTCAGGAGTGGTGGGGTAGTCTAGTGGTTAAAGCGTTCGCTCGTCACGCCGAGGACCCGGGTTCGATTCCCCAAATGGGTATAATGTGTGAAGCCCATTCCTGGTATCCCCCGCTGCAATATTGCTGGAATATTGCTAAAAGTGGCGTAAAACCATACTCACTCACTCCAGTTCCCTAATCAGATCGTATGGCACGTGGTCCCACTGCCATCGGTGTGACTGTGTTGTATGCGGTAGTGATGATGTTGCAGTATGCTGCCACTGCCGTCGGTTTGACTGTGTTGTATTCGGTAGTAATGATGTTGTATGATGTTTCAGTATGCTGCCACTGCCCTTGGTGTGACTGTGTTGTATTCGGTAGTGATGATGTTGTATGATGTTGCAGTATGCTGCCACTGCCGTCGGTGTGACTGTGTTGTATGCGCGGTAGTGATGATGTTGTATGATGTTGCATTATGCTGCCACTGCCGTTGGTGTGACTGTGTTGTATGCGGTAGTGATGATGTTGTATGATGTTGCAGTATGCTGCCACTGCTATCGGTGTGACTGTGTTGCATGCGGTAGTGATGATGTTGTATGATGTTGCATTATGCTGCCACTGCCATCGGTGTGACTATGTTATATCCGGTAGTGATGATGTTGTATGATGTTGCAGTATGCTGCCACTGCCATCGGTGTGACTGTGTTGTATGCGGTAGTGATGATGTTGTATTATGCTGCCACTGTCATCGGTGTGACTATGTTATATCCGGTAGTGATGATGTTGTATGATGTTGCAGCATGCTGCCACTGGCGTCGGTGTGACTGTGTTGTATGCAGTAGTGATGATGTTTTATGGTGTTGCAGTATGCTGCCACTGCCATCGGTGTGACTGTTTTGTTTGCGGTAGTGATGATGTTGTATGATGTTTCAGTATGCTGCCACTGCCGTCGGTGTGACTGTACTGTACACGGTAGTGATGATGTTGTATGATGTTGCAGTATGCTGCCACTGCAGTCGGTGGGACTATGTTATATCCGGTAGTGATGATGTTGTATGATGTTGCAGTATGCTGCCACTGCCGTCGGTGTGACTGTGTTGTATGCGCGGTAGTGATGATGTTGTATGATGTTGCATTATGCTGCCACTGCCGTTGGTGTGACTGTGTTGTATGCGGTAGTGATAATGTTGTATGATGTTGCATTATGCTGCCACTGCCGTTGGTGTGACTGTGTTGTATGCGGTAGTGATGATGTTGTATGAAGTTGCATTATGCTGCCACTGCCGTTGGTGTGACTGTGTTGTATGCGGTAGTGATGATGTTGTATGATGTTTCAGTATGCTGCCACTGCCATCGGTGTGACTGTGTTGTATGCGGTAGTGATGATGTTGTATGATGTTTCAGTATGCTGCCACTGCCGTCGGTGTGACTGTACTGTACACGGTAGTGATGATGTTGTATGATGTTTCAGTATGCTGCCACTGTTGGTGAAGGATGGTCTGCTGCTGGCATCAGTGGGACTGACTGTACTGTACACGGTAGTGATGATGTTGTATGATGTTTCAGTATGCTGCCACTGTTGGTGAAGGACGGGCTGCTGCTGGCATCAGTGGGACTGACTGTACTGTACACGGTAGTGATGATGTTGTATGATGTTTCAGTATGCTGCCACTGCCATCGGTGTGACTGTGTTGTATGCGGTAGTGATGATGTTGTATGATGTTTCAGTATGCTGCCACTGTTGGTGAAGGACGGGCTGCTGCTGGCATCAGTGGGACTGACTGTACTGTACACTGTAGTGATGATGTTGTATGATGTTTCAGTATGCTGCCACTGTTGGTGAAGGACGGGCTGCTGCTGGCATCAGTGGGACTGACTGTACTGTACACTGTAGTGATGATGTACAGTCAACAAGCCTACACCGACAAGCAGGCGGAGGGAGCAGGGAAAACCTTAGTGAAAATACTTGTAAGTGGACAAAACCAATGTAATTTCATTTGTTACTGACATCTTTCCAGGGCAAGGGATATAACTGACTATATAAGTTCAGTTTCCACCCTTGCCGAACTAGGCTGGAATTATGGAGTTACAGCTTGCACTATGCATAGTCCAATCAAATAGCGTAATGAAATCGAAATCCAGTTCATAAACTGCCGTCCAAATTTCGGTTGATTGCAGGATTTGTAAAGCATGGGGACCTACAACTTAGCCACAACAGATATTTTCCAAATCTTTTCATGTTTTTAAATCAAGGTGCTCACATGAACTGATCCACTTCACGAAGTAAGATCTGTTTTAGTACAATATATACAGTCAAGTCTCGTTAATCCGACACTTGTTTATCCGACAATCGGCTTTATCCGATACAAATGATGGGAACCGATTTAATCAGTGCTATTTAGACCCGTTGATCTGACAGTCTCGCACTCCAACTCCGACACACCTAATTTGCAACGAAATGCTGAAATCACTCATTAATCAGTCTCGTTAATCCGACACAGTGATCAGCGTACTCTGTGGTCATCTGCCCTCGAGTACACAGCCCGTGTTCTGATGCAAGACGAGTCGGCAAGTAGCTGCATATTTCACCCGCTGCAGAGATAAACTTGCTTAACAATAAATAATTAATTTTTTAAATATACTAAACAGGATTAATCACATGCCTAGATTACCTCAATCTCATTAAAAATCGGATACAAGTTCTCGCTACCGCTTAAGACATCCCATTACAGGTCACGTCAGAACGACCTTTCGCGAACTTTGATCGACCAATGAAATGACTGACAGGATGCCCAATTTTCGATCACGAACGTTGATACCACCTTATTTCGTTTATCCGACATACTCGTTAATTCGACATAATCATATGCAACCAACATTAACGGATTAACGGCACTTGACTGTATCTTGATTATCGATCAGATCATCTTCACAGGGCGACACCATTTTATCTGAAGCAAATGAAAGTGATGTGAGAGGTGGAATCTGATTGGTCAGTTAGAAGGACTTAGAAGGGACATTACTCGTAATAGCCACTGGTGGTGCTACGATCGAACCCAGAAATTCCAGCCTATTTCGGCAAGGGCAGAAACTGGACTTTTACAGTCAGTTACCTCCCTTGCCTTGGGAAGATGGTTATTGATGGATGCCTGGAATTGAGGTTAATCTGAAGCAGAAACCCCCTTTGGTGATGCTAGATACCTGGTACCCATGTTTGTTTAAAAGAGCTGACCTATGACAATCGGATGGTCGTGATGGCCGATTATTTGTACATGCTGATCGTGGAGTAAAACCATACTGAAGCAGGAATGCCCAACTGTGTTCAGTTTAACATGTAAGTGATTCAGAATTTACTTTACATTTGACCCATGAAGATCCCGGGTAGAATAGGTCTTCAGCAACCCATTCTTGCCATAAAGGGTGACTATGCTTGTCGTAAGAGGTGACTAACAGGATCTAGTGGTCAGGCTCACTGACTTGGTTGATGCATGTCATCGTATCACATTTGCGTGGATCAATGCTCATGGTATCAATCACTGGATTGTCTGTTCCAGACTTGATTATTTACAGACCGCCGTCATATAGCTGGAATATTGCTGAGTGTGGCACTAATCAACAAACAAACAAAACAAATACATTACATTTTGACTTTGAACACTTTTGAAAAGATAAGGGCATAATTTCAAATTGATTTTAAGTTCACTCCATAATGAACAGATTGTCGTTTCTGCAAGTGTCAGACTTTCCTGTGATTTGTTTTACAGTTTACCATGTCATGCCTGGGTGCAGGTGCACTCACCGTGGTCAGTCAGGTGGTCAAGGCACCAGCCAGACTGCCAGACTTATTCCCGGTCCTCATATCGGTCTACTCCTGCGGCCATTTTGTCCTCTTCCTGTTGTACTTCACATACTACCAGCTGTTCCAGACTGGCTTCAAAAAGTATATCTCTGTGCAGACTTCAAAGAAAACTTCAAAGAAGACCAATTAATAAAATTGTTGCAATTTCTCAATGTTTATTGTTGCTGGTTGTCATTTGAGTGAGTGAGTGAGTGAGTGAGTGAGTGAGTGAGTGAGTAAGATGTTTGATGTTGCAGTAGGTTCTCGGCCACTTCCTGTTATAAGCTTTGAGGGTGATCAGGTGGTCAGACTGTGGTTTGTGTATTATTGTCAAGACAAACATGGTGATGTATTGTCAAGACAAACATGGTGCTGTACTGTCAAGACACACATGGTGATGTATTGTCAAGACAAACATGGTGATGTACTGTCAAGACACACATGGTGATGTATTGTCAAGACACACATGGTGCTGTACTGTCAAGACACACATGGTGCTGTATTGTCAAGACAAACATGGTGATGTACTGTCAAGACACACATGGTGATGTATTGTCAAGACAAACATGGTGATGTATTGTCAAGACAAACATGGTGCTGTACTGTCAAGACACACATGGTGATGTATTGTCAAGACAAACATGGTGATGTACTGTCAAGACACACATGGTGATGTATTGTCAAGACAAACATGGTGCTGTATTGTCAAGACACACGCTGTGCTGTACTGTCAAGACAAACATGGTGATGAACTGTAAAGACACACATGGTGCTGTATTGTCAAGACACACATGGTGCTGTATTGTCAAGACACACATGGTGCTGTATTGTCAAGACAAACATGGTGCTGTACTGTCAAGACACACATGGTGCTGTATTGTCAAGACACACGTCGTGCTGTACTGTCAAGACAAACATGGTGATGAACTGTAAAGACACACATGGTGATGTATTGTCAAGACACACATGGTGATGTATTGTCAAGACAAACATGGTGATGTATTGTCAAGACACACATGGTGATGTACTGTCAAGACAAACATGGTGATGTATTGTCAAGACAAACATGGTGATGTATTGTCAAGACACACATGGTGCTGTACTGTCAAGGCAAACATGGTGATGTATTGTCAAGACACACATCGTGCTGTACTGTCAAGACACACATGGTGCTGTACTGTCAAGACACACATGGTGATGTACTGTCAAGACACACATGGTGCTGTACTGTCAAGACAAACATGGTGATGTATTGTCAAGACAAACATGGTGCTGTACTGTCAAGACACATGGTGCTGTATTGTCAAGACACACGTCATGCTGTACTGTCAAGACACACATGGTGTTGTACTGTCAAGACACACATGGTGATGTACTGTCAAGACACACATGGTGATGTACTGTCAAGACACACATGGTGCTGTACTGTCAAGACACACATGGTGATGAATTGTCAAGACACACATGGTGCTGTATTGTCAAGACACACATGGTGATGTACTGTCAAGACAAACATGGTGATGTATTGTCAAGACAAACATGGTGATGTATTGTCAAGACAAACATGGTGATGTATTGTCAAGACACACATGGTGCTGTACTGTCAAGACAAACATGGTGATGTATTGACAAGACAAACATGGTGATGTACTGTCAAGACACACATGGTGCTGTATTGTCAAGACACACGTCATGCTGTACTGTCAAGACAAACAGATCCATGAAGATCCGGGGTAGAATAGGTCTTCAGCAACCCATGCTAGCCTTAAAAAAGGCGACTATGCTTATCGTAAGAGGCAACTAACGGGATTGGGTGGTCAGGCTCGCTGGCTTGGTTGATGCATGTCATTGTATCCCAATTGCGTGGAGCGATGCTCATGACGTCACTCACTGGATTGTTTGGGCCAGACTCTATATTTTACAGACCGCCGTCATATAGCTGGAATATTGCTGAGTGCGGCGTTAAACAACAAACAAAGTCAAGACAAACATGGTGCATTACTGTCAAGACGAACACGGTCCTGTATTTTCAAGTATTTATTTTCAACAAGTCAAGGTGGAACATTCATGAGTATAAAACACAATATCACAGTGAGTTGGTTGTTGTCCTGGGACAGCATGATGGGGACATCAGTCAGACATCATTGAGATAGATCCGGGGTAGAATAGGTCTTCAGCAACCCATGCTTGCCGTAAAAGGTGACTCTGCTTGTCGTAAAAGGCGACTAATGGGATCGGGTGGTCAGGCTCACTGACTTGGTTGATGCATGTCATCGATCCCAATTGGGTGGATTGATACTCATGATATTAATCACTGGATTGTCTGGTCCAGACTTGATTATTTACAGTCCGCCGTCATATAGCTGCAATATTGATGAGTGCGGCGTTAAACAACAAAGCAACCAATCAACATGAGGTGAAGAAGGCAGGTCCTGACTCAACGTGAAGAATCGATTCGATGTCACCCAGCAAACACATGCTTAATGATTATGTACAGGTGAAATATGAAATATGTTGCATTATCAACAAGATTAAGTTGCATGTTGACAAAAAATAAAGTGATACAGATAAATACATACAGATGCGTGTGTCCTTGACCGGAAGGACCGCCTCCGTTGTCGAGTGGTAGAGTGTCTGCCCGGAGAGCAGAAGGTCCGGGGTTCTATCCCCAGACGCGTCATACCAATAGACATTAAGAGATGGTACTTGTTGTTACCCTGGCTGGCACTCAGCATTAAGGGGATAAAACATGGACTGGTAGGCTTGGAGAGTGTACTGTGTGTGAGTAGGGTGTTCATCATGGCGAGGGACACCAGAAATGGTCTACACACATTGTACCAATGTCGGAAATCGAACCCAGGTCCTCGCCTTGACGAGAGAACGCTTTAACCAGTAGGCTACCCGACTGCCCTCTTCTAATATAAGAGCATACATATTACTCAAAACAAGTAAAGGAATACACACAAAAGGAAGGCTGTGTTTTACAATACCAGCTATGACAGATTAACTATAGTCATATGAAAAAATCGGTTTTAACTTCTTTTGAGACGTATCTTTGAAATGTTTGTTTGTTTGTTGTTTAACGCCGCACTCAGCAATATCCAGTGATTGACATTATGAGCATCGATCTATGCAATTGGGATCGATGACATGTATCAACCAAGTCAGCAAGCCTGACCACCCGATCCCGTTAGTCACCTTTTACGACAAGCATAGTCGCCTTTTACAGCAGGTATGAGTTGCTGAAGACCCCGGAATCTTCATGGGTCTCTTTGAAATGACTTCACCCAGAACCTGTCATCCCTTTTGTGACACACCTTTTGTTCTCAGTGCCCCATAACAAATAACTGACAAAAATATGTTGTAAACATTGTTAATTTAATAGAAGTATTGACAACGAAAATGTTTTTTCTCTGAGCGTCTGAGCAATAAGTTAATATCACAGGTATTACATGTTCCATGAGACCCGGGTTGATCCGGGGAAGAATAGGTCTTCAGCAACCCATGCTTACCGTTAAAGGCGAATACGCTTGTCGTAAGAGGCGCTTAACAGGATCGAATGGTCAGCCTCGCTGACTTGGTTGATGCATGTCATTGTATCCCAAATGCTTGGATCGATGCTGATGATGTGAATCACTGGATTGTTTGGTCCAGACTCATTTATTTACAGACCGTCGTCATACAGCAAGTATATTGCTGAGTGTGGCTGTAATAACAAACAAACAAAACAACACATATTCCTTGCAGGCCACATAGGAGGAGTCTCCCTGATGTGAACGATACCAGAGACTCCTCGTTCCCTGTATCTCCATCAGCTACATACTTATAGTTTATGACAATGTATCTTCATAAATCTGCATCAGCAATAGGGCGCTATCGGTGCCCAGTATGCATCAAACACACTATCTGGATTGTCTGGTCCACTGCTAGATTGTCTGGCTGTCATCGTAAGGCAGTACTACTGCTGTGCGGTTAGGCAACGAACACCCAATGCAAATTGTGTGAGTGGCGGGTTCTGCCAGTAGAGCGGGCCATGCTCACCCTTTTCGCGAACACCTGGTGTCATCACTGATTTTCTGTGATACATTCATATATTAATTATTTTCAACACTATTTTGTCTTTTACACCCATAAGAATCGGTGGTTAAATGTTTCTGTTTTTCTCTGGCGTTGACCTTTTATATACAATGATGGTCATTAACTAGGTGTCACTGTGTGGAGCCTTGGAGATGACGGAATTCAATCATATTGGAACAGTCATTGAGCATCAACATAAAATTTACTGTTCTTTTCTGGTTTTCTTGCTGGTGAAAACAAGTTAGCGAGAGAGTGTTTCTTCTTTTTTGGACGTGAGGTTTGACCCAGACCTGAAGCTACACCAGGATCTGAACCATCTCTGGAAGCTGAATCAGTGCTGTCCCCATCACCTGCTATCGCCAATGATGACAGTTCCACTTCCAGTTGGACAGCACCAACATCATGTTTAGGGTAGAAACCTGGATCAACGATAAGGTCCCCCAGGCTGACATGAAACATATTGTTCTCCACAAAGTTGATCTCTGGAGGAACACAGGCAAAGTCCACAGTTCCCAGGTGTTCCAGCAGCGCTTGTTGTTTTTCCAGGATGCTGTCAGCCCTCAACACGATCTGAGTTGGGTGATGACTGGAAAGACTCTCGGTGTCGTGCTTTACCTGCTTGACCTCCTTCAGCAGACTCTCAGATGGGTTGATGCCTGACTTCAGCCTCCAGATCTCATCGCGGTACAGTTGTTGGACCCTCTGGACCATTTGCACTTTTTCCTTCTCAATGTCCTGGATCATCTTCCCTGCAATCTGACTTATCCTCTTTCTCAGTTCTACCCGGGTCTGTTCAAGATTCCCTGCACTTGAAGTCCATATATCACTAAATGAACTCACCCGATGGGTCTCATCCACTAGCTTGGACACGTCTGGAAGTGTGCATACTTCAGATAATGGGTCAAAGTCTTCAGCTCGACATGTCTTGTGACTCTCAGTCAAACACTGACCACAAGCTACACTGACACATTTCTTGCAGGAAAGAAGGATTGGTTTCCATGGGTGGATCATACACATTTCTTCTTCACTATCAGTCCCTTTGGTAAACATATCAAGAGTACCTTGAATGTCAGACTGTCCTTTAGAATGTACAGAAGTCATTGCTTCAAAAGGCTGTGTTGCTTCTGGTCCATCGGTCATATCAGACAATGGTGAGTTGCTGATAGGTGATGGTATGGCGGGTTCAGGAACTGTTTGTGAGTCTGGGAGTGATGTCCCCAAGGTACTGGAAGGTGATGGTGTTGCCAGTTCAGGATTTAGAGGTGATGCAGGAGGTGATGTCTCCGAGGTAGGTGTTGGTGACATTGGTTCTGAGGTCACTGATCCATATATGCTCGTCGAACTCCCTTCGTCAACGGATGAATCACGAGAGATGGTAATTGGTGACTCATTCTGCTCTGATCCAATTCTACTTGTGGAACCAGATGCACCAGAAACCAAAGATGGTTCAGGTGATCTGGTGGCCTCACTTGGTTTGTCCATGAATGGTGTCTGTGGTTTTGTTGCAATTTGTGGTTTTGTTGGAAACTCTCTCGGAGTGAATTTTTTCTTTGGCTGCCATCTGTCTGGGAACTGGTCAGCCCATGCTGTCAGAGGCTGGTCAGGATCAATGGCCTTGGTGTACTTCTTGCAGAAGGGGCAGCTGAACCCTTCCCATTGAAGATTTGCAGGTACAGTTATAATCTTGAAACGGAGACAGGCCTTGCAAAAGGCATGTTTGCAGGGCAGGAACTTTGGTTCCGTACAGCTCTTCTTGCAAAGTCGACACAGTTCTTTAATTGGAAGTTGCTCTTGAACAGCCATTCTCAACCTTTGTAATTGGCAATGTACCTGAAAAATTGAAACAATGTCAGTTTTATTTTATACCAATGCCAAGCCTATAACACACAGTAACAAATATGTGATGCAATATAACACAGCTGCAGACTGATTGAGAAACTTGTATAACGCACAACTAACTTTTGTACACTTCCAACACCCCAATGACTGGAACCAAATAATACCTTAGTATGACAAAAATATCAATGTCTGATTTGAGTTAGTTGGGTTTAGCGCCGCTTTTAACAGTATTCCAGTTATATCATGGCGGGGAACCCCAGGAATGGGCTTTACACATTGTACCTATGTTGGAAATCGAACCCGGGTCCTTGCCTTAATGAGTGAACGCTTTAACCAGTAGGCTATCCGGCTGCCCTCTTCTGTGTCAGCTTAATGTGGGAGGAAAGCCTGGAGTGATGCAGGTCTAAGGCGTTTATCACTTTGGTGAAACCCACAAGCACGGGTATGGTGCTGACAAACCTAGAAACATAATCGGGGTCAACCGGGATTCGAACACGCAATCATAGGTTTCTGGTGTGTCCAAGGGACGCAACTCTGCACAGCGAATCGCGGGGCCTTAGACGTCTGATCTGAACATCCACCCCCTTGCTGCCTCCATCATGAAGTTTTGAATAAAGAATGCTCCCCCTACCATTTCAACTACACCCCAAACACCAACAAATGCACAACTTTCAGAAACGTCGTATGCATGTATGTCTGGATATAATAATTAATGATTAATTAATTCCAGTCCCCACACGTTTTACTGCATATGTGAATATTAATTACTAACTGATTTTGATTTGATTGTTTGTTTGTTGTTTAACGCTGCACTCAGCAATATTCCGGCTATATGATGGCAGTCTGTATATAATCGAGTCTGGACCAGACAATCCAGTGATTGATATCATGAGCATCAATCCATGCAATTGGGATACAATGACATGCATCATCCAAGTCAGCGAGCCTGACCACCCGATCCCGTTAGTTGCCTCTTATGATAAGCATAGTTGCATTGTATCACAAAGCATGGATTGCTGAAGATCTATTCTACCCTGGATCTTCTATGGTTAATGAGGGGCGGTCAGGTAGCCTAGTGGCTAAAGCGTTCGCTCGTCACGCAGAAGACCCTGGTTCAAATCCTGACATGGGTACAATGTGTGAAGCCAATTTCTGGTGTCCCCCGCCGTGATATTGCTGGAATATTGCTAAAAGCGGCGTAAAACCATACTCACTCACTCACTCACTATGGTTAATGAATGGCTAGACAGAGGGGAATACATAATCCTGTTGGACTGGCACTAATCTTGTTGACATATTTACTGGGTGCTTGTAAAGAAATTAAGATATCACTTATAGACGAGCTTGTATGGGGGCTAGTCCTTAATGAATCTAAATTAAAGTTAAATTGAAGTATTTGCTGAATGTTATTCTAATATAGGTGACGACAGATTTACTTAAATAAAATAGTTCAAGGCAATCCATAAACCTGTAGACAGAACTTTTGTCTTATTGATTAGTATGGGATGGGATCACCTAAGGCTAGAATCAATCTAAAAAACTATTTCTGAAACTACTGATATTTTGTACATGCATTTTATCTGATGATATATATGTATTACTTGCTAAACTATAATTATATGAAACTAAACTATAATTATACACCATGATAACTCATAAAAGCACTTGTTGTGGATCTAATCATTATATGAATGGACACAGCCAACTATCCTAAACCTGAAACCAAGATGTGGAACTATCTCAAGGCCTCCTACTTCACAAAAACCACAAGTACAGAGTGCCTGGACCAGCCAGATTCCACATCCAAATTCCCTGATAACGGTAGAAGAACTTTACATTATATTTCCTCATACCAAAGAGACTATGACATTTGTTATTTACTATACTACTAGTTTAATATACATTGTCTATCTAAGCCATAATTTTTTTATTTTACATGTTTGGGGTCCAAACTTTTCAGACGGAGGGGAAGTTATCATGATATAACATTCATACTAAGTTTTCATATAATAATTACCGTATTTGACGTAATAAGCGCCCACAGCGATATTTGCTAACATATTGGCTAGTGAACAATCCCAATTCCTCCCGATTGGTCAATGTACACAAGAATTATTTATTCGTATAAAATATGCGTTATATGCACCTTAATAATGGGCAATTAAATTCTGGAAAAATATAATACATATAATACACACAGACTTTTCTTTTTTATCATTTCAGGCTGTCAGCACGAAATTTATGATCTTTCCACTAAAATTTTATTCTAATAAAAAAAAAGCAATTTCTAATTTTGAGAGCGCCCTGGGCGCTTATTACATCAAATACGGTAGATCCACAACAAGTGCTTTTTAGAGTTATCATGACCACTAATTTTAGTTCGTAATAACCGTAGTTCGTTATCAACATATATACAACATATATACAACAAATGGCCAAGACTAAAAGTAAGTTTGTTATATCGCTCAGTATGTTATAAGCATGTTCATTATATATGTAGTTTACTGTATATGCAAAATTACCTAAGATGTGTTCCGATACTGATTTCAGATACCATATCGGTCGACCCATATTTGTAATTACAAACCTGAGGGTATTTGACAGTGGAGATATAATAGGTCTCTATGTAAGTCTTTCATACTTTGTAGGTACAAGAGTAATCCTAACGACAGCCTTGGCTGTTAAATGCATTCTGCCTGAGGGGTTATGGAGTGGATGTAATCTGCAAAAAGGTTACATAGTACAGGGTAACAAATACCGTATTTGACGTAATAAGCGCCCAGGGTGCTCTCAAAATTAGAAATAGGGGGCTCTTATTAGAATATTTTGGTGGAAAAAACAAAGTTGAAAGATAAATTTCATGGTTTATGACAGCCTGAAATGTTTATATACGACATATATATTTTTCCAGAATTTAATTGCCTATAATTAAGGGTACATATTACTCACGAGTGTGTATTATACGTGAATAAATAAGTCTTGTGTACATTGATCAATCCCAAGGGGTGCTCATTGGGATTGTTCACTAGCCAATGTATTAACAAATATCACCATGGGCGCTTATTAGAGCGGGCGATTATTACGTCGAAAACGGTAACACTTCTTTAGTTATACTGGAAATCTTGAAATTAACATGAGTGTGAATTAAATGCGAAAAATGGGGGTGGTCTTTGTTCACATTAATAAAAACTTCGCATTTATCATGTTTATGTCTCCAAAATGACTATTAACAATAAGGTGGCCTCAATGCAGAATTTGGATCGCGGAAATACCAGCTTGAATATATACACAAACACGGTTTATTGAGCAGCAGTTGTAACAAGTCCTTGTCAATGTCATTTAAAGAATAGGAGTTATGTAATGGGCGTTCGGTGAGTTATCACTGCTGGGGTCAAGAGTTCTACCCACTCGTGTCAAACTAGGCATCACTGAGCACTCCAAACAGTGAACTGTTGTTGGTTCAATTATTTTATTGCCTTTGAACTTCCATAATGCCAGTCAACAGAATAAATATATAAACTGTGTGTTGTTTTTAGGAAAACACTGTTTATTGTTGTACAGAAGTGTTTTACTCAGTGCTAATAAGCAGTGCTATTTGCTGTTTGACTGGATTAAGGTAAGGATATGTATTATTCCACTGGAATGGGGTGGGGGAGTCACATTGATATTGAGTCACATTTTTGGCTAGGGGTCAGCAGGCATATTAATTTGGAGGCGCATTAATTTCAAGATTTACAGTAAATCAATGTTGAGTAGGAAAGCTAAACATTTATATAAAATATATAGTGAAGTTCACTAAGTGAACATAATGAAATACTGAAATTACCCGTTCATCTGTTGATAAAGGAATATTAAGGGACTAGTCATTAATTACAGGATAGGAATGGAGATTGTTCGAGGGACTGAACTATGTTTGGCGGATGCCCCATTTTTCATGCCCTCCACCATCCCAAATTCATGTACCGTATTCGACGTAATAAGCGCCCAGGCCGCTCTCAAAATTAGAAATAGGGGCCTCTTATTAGAATATCATTTTGGCTGAAAAAAACAGAGTTAAAAGATAAATTTCGTTGTTTATGCTGACAGTCTGAACTGTTTATATACGAGAGATATATTTTTCGAGAATTTAATTGCCCATAATTAAGGGTGCATATAACACACGAGTGCATATTATACACGAATAAATAAGTCTTGTGTACATTGATCAATCGGAAGGGATGCTAATTGGGATTGTTTACTTGCCATTTATTAGCAAATATGGCCCTTGGCGCTTATTAGAGCGAAGCGCTTATTATGTCGAATACGGTAACATTCTTTCTTAACACCCCTATAAAACCTTATATGACATAATGTTGAAATTTACCCCAATTTGTTTTTAAAAACATAGATCTGTGTCATTTATTTACTCCTACTCCTAAACAATTACCAGTCTCTTAACATGATATTAGTCCCTGGTTTGTCATGAACCGTTCGTGATCGTCGGAATCTAGTAAGCTGTTCTCATGTTACAGGTGGATCAGATCGAGGCAGTGTTGAGGTGACATCTAGGTACACAACGACACCAGTGTACAGCGTATATGTACCCTGGGGTCGAGATCGTTTTCTCAACATCTGGCCACAGAGGAGAGAACCATAGTGATTCTAAGTCTTACCTACCTTCTGACGCGTGGACGCCGTACGATATCTGTGTCTGTGTCAAACGCTGCTCTGTCTCATCTGTCCCAGTTCGATATGCCACACCTAGCTCACGTATCGATCTATGTTTAGTGTTTTGTGGTGGGTATTCCAGAGCTGTGTGACGTTGTGGCTAATCGTCGGGACTTGACAAAGAAGGCTGAGTGGGGGCCTGTGTGTACCTGTGACGCGTGGGGGTCTGCAGGGCGGGTCTTCACTCACGCGCTCCTTGATTGTTGCAGTTTGCACTAAATTATTAATGATCCTTGACGCTACGGAAGCTATGGGGTAAGAACAAAAGTATTGAGTTACTGTGTGTGCTAGCTAAATGAGGTGAGCGAATGTATGCGTAAGGTAAATGAGATGATTGGATTTATTTGATAGCTAAATGGAGGGACCAGTGAATGTATGTGCTACTTTAGTCAAGGAGTGAATGTGTGTGCTAATTAAGTCAAGAGTGAATGTATGTGCTAATTAAGTCAAGAGTGAATGTATGTGCTACTTAAGTCAAGGAGGGAATGTATGTGCTACTTATGTCAAGGAGTGAATGTATGTGCTACTTAAGTCAAGGAGTGAATGTTTGTGCTACTTAAGTCAAGGAGTGAATGTATGTGCTACTTAAGTCAAGGAGTGAATGTATGTGCTACTTAAGTCAAGGAGAGAATGTATGTGCTACTTAAGTCAAGGAGTGAATGTATGTGCTACTTAAGTCAAGGAGTGAATGTATGTGCTACTTAAGTCAAGGAGTGAATGTATGTGCTATTTAAGTCAAGGAGTGAATGTGTGTACTACTTAAGTCAAGGAGTGAATGTATGTGCTACTTAAGTCAAGGAGTGAATGTGTGTGCTACTTAAGTCAAGGAGTGAATGTGTGTGCTACTTAAGTCAAGGAGTGAATGTATGTGCTACTTAAGTCAAGGAGTGAATGTTTGTGCTACGTAAGTCAAGGAGTGAATGTATGTGCTACTTAAGTCAAGGAGTGAATGTTTGTGCTACGTAAGTCAAGGAGTGAATGTATGTGCTACGTAAGTCAAGGAGTGAATGTGTGTGCTACTTAAGTCAAGGAGTGAATGTATGTGCTACGTAAGTCAAGGAGTGAATGTATGTGCTACTTAAGTCAAGGAGTGAATGTATGTGCTATTTAAGTCAAGGAGTGAATGTGTGTACTACTTAAGTCAAGGAGTGAATGTGTGTGCTACTTAAGTCAAGGAGTGAATGTATGTGCTACTTAAGTCAAGGAGTGAATGTTTGTGCTACTTAAGTCAAGGAGTGAATGTATGTGCTACTTAAGTCAAGGAGTGAATGTATGTGCTATTTAAGTCAAGGAGTGAATGTGTGTACTACTTAAGTCAAGGAGTGAATGTGTGTGCTACTTAAGTCAAGGAGTGAATGTTTGTGCTACTTAAGTCAAGGAGTGAATGTATGTGCTACTTAAGCCAAGGAGTGAATGTATGTGCTATTTAAGTCAAGGAGTGAATGTTTGTACTACTTAAGTCAAGGAGTGAATGTGTGTGCTACTTAAGTCAAGGAGTGAATGTATGTGCTACTTAAGTCAAGGAGTGAATATATGTGCTACGTAAGTCAAGGAGTGAATGTGTGTGCTACTTATGTCAAGGAGTGAATGTGTGTGCTACTTAAGTCAAGGAGTGAATGTATGTGCTACTAAAGTCAAGGAGTGAATGTGTGTGCTACTTTAGTCAAGGAGTGAATGTATGTGCTACGTAAGTCAAGGAGTGAATGTATGTGCTACTTAAGTCAAGGAGTGAATGTATGTGCTACTTAAGTCAAGGAATGAATGTGTGTACTACTTAAGTCAAGGAGTGAATGTGTGTGCTACTTAAGTCAAGGAGTGAATGTGTGTGCTACTTAAGTCAAGGAGTGAATGTATGTGATAGCTAAATCAAGTGATTGAATGTATGTGATAGCTAAATCAAGTGATTGAATGTATGTGGTAGCTTAATCAAGAGATTGAATGTATGTGATAGCTAAATCAAGTGACTGAATATATGTTATAGCTAAATCAAGCGATTAAATGTATTTGATAGCTAAATCAAGTGATTGAATGTATGTGAGAGCTAAATCAAGTGATTGAATGTATGTGATAGCTAAATCAAGTGACTGAATATATGTGATAGCTAAATCAAGCGATTGAATATAAGTGAAAGCTAAATTAAGTGATTAAATGTATTTGATGGCTTAATCAAGTGATTGAATGTATGTGATAGCCAACTCAAGTGATTGAATGTTTATAATAGCTATATCAAGTGATTGAATGTATGTGATAGCTAACTCAAGTGATTGAATGTATGTGCTACTTAAGTCAAGGAGTGAATGTATTTGATAGCTAAATCAAGTGATTGAATGTATGTGATAGCTAAATCAAGTGATTGAATGTATGTGATAGCTAAATCAAGTGATTGAATGTATGTGATAGCTTAATCAAGTGATTGAATATATGTGATAGCTAAATCAAGTGATTGAATGTATGTGATAGCTAAATCAATTGATTGAATCTATGTCCTAGCTAAATCAAGTGATTGAATGTATGCGATAGCTGAATTAAGTGATTAAATGTATTTAATGGCTTAATCAAGTGATTGAATGTATGTAATAGCTAAATCAAGTGATTGAATGTATGTGATAGCTAAATCAAGTGATTAAATGTATGTGATAGCTAAATCAAGTGATTGAATGTATGTGATAGCTAAATCAAGTGATTGAATATATGTGATAGCTAAATCAAGTGAGTGAATGTATGTGATAGCTAAATCAAGTGATTAAACTCATGTCACACCTAAAAGAAATGACTGAATGGTATTTCACTCCAAAGTCAACAGTACTCTTTAACTCCGATTCGCAATCGAGTCTAGGCCAGGCAAACGCGCGGTTGACAGCATGAGCAACGTTCCAAGCCATGAGGGTACGATGACACACAATCAGCCAGGTAAAACAATGCAACCGAAGAACAACCAGTAAGCAAATAGTAGGCTGTCCAAACACACAAGGGCACTGGGACGTACGTGGGAGGTAATCTGCCCAGGAAGTCTCACGGGTAGCGGGTGGCCCAGTCGTCTAAGGCGCCGCGATTCGCTGTGCAGAGTTGCGTTCCTTGGGCACGCCAGAAACCTATGATTGTGGGTTCGAATCCCGGTTCGCCACGATTATGTTTCTAGGTTTGTCAGCATCATACCTGTGCTCGTGGGTTTCACCGAAGTAGTAAACGTCTGAGACCTGCATCACTTCGGGCTTTCCTCCCACATTAAGCTGACATGCCGTGATATAACTGGAATACTGTTAAAAGCGGCGTTAAACCCAACTCACTCACTCACTCTGGCACAACGTGGCGACAAATTCCACTGCAGATGCCTTGTAGGGTGGAATGCCAGTATTTTCACGGTATGTTTGAATGCTACTGGACATAAATCCAGTCTCAAATCTAATAAATATCTTGGAAGATAGAATGAAATTTATACTTTTTCAGGAAATTGCTTGCAAGTTTGCAAAAATGCTTTGATCTAATCTGAACATATTAAAATAGATTTGATTAAAACACGCACGCATGCACCTAATCACCCACTCACGCACGCACTTGAACCTAATCACCCAACTAAATTCAGAGATATTTTAAATCAATTAGAATTCAAAGTGTAGCTGTTTGGCAAAGTGAAAACGTGGTGTATTGGCGTCGTGGATGGTTGAACATATAGAAGTTGTGCCTTGATAGGCCCCTGCTCTGGAGCCCCAAACGAGCCAATATTTATCGCCTCGCATGAGTGACCTGCTAATGCCCATTGTGAGGTCGTGATATGCAGAGCTTTTCCCCAGGGTTGGAGTGGGGATTCCCCTGTCCAATGTATTCATATCGTTCATATCGACGTGTAACGGACATTTGTCATTTTGGCAGAGATTTCTCATCAGTACTGAAAGGCTTTTGCCGCTCTCATTTCAAACGGTCTACCAATGTCCCCAACAGTTAAACCGCGTTCATTGTGGTACCTTTTAACTGCCTGTTATAAAAGAAAGATCCTTTTGACAACAATCTGCGTCTTTCGTATCGATGTTTATGTACGAGGTTCACAGCTTGTCAACGCTTATTCTCTAGTCGGAGATAGTTCAGGCAAACGTGTTTGTGATGACATTAATATTAAGACATTTTCCCCTTCAATTGATATTACACAGTTACGGGTGTTACCAAAAGTTGAATCCAGAGGAAATTACGGAAGCCTTTTAGGGCCATGTTTTTTAAAAATATTTTTTCGATACTATCTTGAAATTTCAAGATACTGAGTTGAAATTTCAAGTTATTATCTTGATATTTCAAGATCATTATCTTGAAATTTCAACTTAGTATCTTGAAATTTCAAAATAGTATCTTGAAATTTCAAGATCATTATCTTGAAATTTCAATTTATATATCTTGAAATTTCAGTTTATGCATATTAAAATTTCAACTTATGTATCTTGAAATTTCTAGTTAGCATCTTAAAAGTTCAAGAAAATTTAAAAAAACCAACCCAAATGGCCCTAAAACGCTTCCGTAGGAAACGTGAATGAAATCTAATATTTGGGTCAAAATGAATTGTCTTGACGTTGAAACCTGCCACGATGTTTATATGCATCTTGTTACACCCATTAGACGTCATAAATCTATATATAGTCCTCGCCACTTGAAACAGAATCACGAAATATCGCGATGAATAATTAACGCAGAGAGCTGCGTGTGTGCTTATAATTATAAAGTGAAAACAAACCATTCTTATAACGAATATCACTTACAGTATTGATAAAAATTGCAAATTGCGCTTTTCTAGAAATATCTATTTTGCTTGAGATAAACATCATCATTGAGTTTTTATCACGTGGTAACAACAGTCAGCTGTAAATTGACTAATTATTACTATCATGAACTGAAAGAAAAAACCTTGATGTATTTAAAGCGCTATAGACTATTTCACTGTTAAATTTAACCAATCGCAGTCACGTGACTGCCGAGTCTTACCCGGTATCACTTTATAGGTATTGGCACTCACGAAGCTATCTTCGTTGATTGTCTATTTCAAGCGGTGAGGACTATATATCTTAATGAAAAGATAAATTGTATTAACTATACTTGTCAAAATCTTGTCCGTATTCGGTCAATTAAGAATTCAATCTCATTAAACTCAGATCTTACATAATCAATCTTACACGA